AGAAGTGTAGTTGCACTTTTTGAATCCACATCAATTTAAAAGACAGAGCAAGAAACCATGATTGTGACTGAGAAGGAGCTTATAGTGTTTAGTTCAAAAATCTTTCTTCGCCGGTGATGGAGCTCATGTTCCTTAGGCAGATAATGTATAGTAATAGTTGAAGCATATAACAAATATCCTTTCTTACTAATGTATTACATTTTATTAGCTAGATCAATATTGCTGTAATTTCCACCCATTAGCATCTCATTGCTGTAAAGTACATAAAAATATTTACATTAACACTGATCAAAATGGCAACAGCGTGTATTAAAATATGAATGACGTATAATCAGAATTTTCTGTTTCTATTGCCTCCAGTTATTTGTGACCCCAGATATGAAGTTCAAGTTTATACTTAATAGCACAATTATGTAAATCTGTAATTCTAACACTGAATTACAGCTGGTAATGATCAATAATTATATTTATGTATGATGTGAAGTTAATACTGCCACCATAGATTAATGTAAACAACAAAATTATTTCTGCAGTCAAGAGCTAACAAATCATCATAAACAAAAAGAACTAAAACAATCTCTTCAGAGCCTAATTTCTCCAGCAGAGTAAACAAATTTTTTATTTCCAATGAATGTAAAGCTCTCAATTAAAGAGAACACAACTCTACCAAAAACATTATGATGGCTCAGTGTTTCACTACACTTTTTAATTTTATTTCAGTCTTTAGAAAAGGGAAAATATTCTGAAGTATTTGATAAGGCTTTGTTGAGGAGAGCACTGGAAGAGGCAAAAAACAGAGAAAAGTAGAAATTACAGAAAAATACAACCAGCCAGTTTAAAAAACAATTTGGCAAATATATACATCTTTCTGTACATTATGGAGTTCAAGGTTTTTCCAATTAAAAAAACAATCTTGCAACTACATCAGAAAATTGTATACAGCTATTATGTTGGCTGACACTTTATTGAAATATAGCCATAGTTGAAAGAAACAAAAGAGTGAAATAATCCACAGAAAAGAGACTTTAGCTTTCAACGATTAGGAATTTCTGAACTAGGAAGGCATAGAAATCATGCTACGTACTTTGCATTGCTTAGTGCTGTGCAAATAGTAGATACTTGACAAACATAACATGGATATCGATGAGCCATACTGGGACACCATGAAAAGAACTGAAGAGTAACAGATGCAATATTATAAAATGATTATGCTCCTTGCTAAGACTAAAATCAATGTCCTATATTCTCTTTCCTCAATAAGGTTAAAAGAGGAGAGACTGACTATAGAAGCATAGGCATTTTACATCTGTTTTATTCATTCACCATTCACTTATTTTTGGCTAACATTAATATCGTGCTTCCTATGGGCCAGGCTCTGTTCTAGGCAGTTTGTACAGAAGAACTTATTACTTCTCACAATTACTCTGTGAAGTAAGTACTATCAATATCTCCATTTTGTAGATGACAAAACCAAGGCACAGAAGTGTCCAAGCTCACATAGTTAATAAGTGAAGAGGTAAGATTTAAACCAGTTTTTCCGCAAACTAAAATCATGTTCTTTGTTTTATACCACTCTGCAAAATCCAAATTATTAGTATTATGTAGTGGAATGCCGTTAAAATACAATTTTTGGCTTCTTAATTTAGGCCAAGCTAGAATATTAAACATCACTCCACTCCACTTCAGGGATTCTCATCTTTGGCCCTATTGACACTTTCAGGTCAAATAATTCTTTGTTTGGGGGACTGTCCTGTGCTTTGCAGGATGTATGGCATCATTCCTATTTTCTTCCCACTAGATGCTAGCAGCACCTCCCCATCCAGTTGTGTCAACCAAAATGTCCCGTGGGGAGCAAAATCACCCCCAGTTGAGAACCAGTGAATCTCAGCCAAATCCTAACAACTCCATATAGTAAGGAGGATTTTTAATAAATGCTTTTCAATAACCTAGAACACTTATTCAATAAAAGTCAGATATTATCTCTATTCCCAATCTACCTAGGATACTTCACATCTTGATTCTATCTTGGATGAATCGGGGAAATGAAAACTGACAGGAATTAGTCATTTCCATGTAACAATTTCTCATGATGATGTTACCAGTGATGGGTGGGATCCCTGTCTTTTATGGATTCTTATCTCTGACATAGCTTATTTTTCACTTGTGACTATATTGAAAATATATATAGACATCTGGAAGGAGATCATTTCTACTCCTCCTAACTCATTGACACAACTATGTACTTTATAGATCCGAAGATTGACTGCTTCTGAGATAATTTAAAACCTTTATGAATGTATTTCTCTTCTTAATTTAGATGAAGTTCTGGTTTCTTTTAAAGGTCATCTTAACAGGATAATTTTATTCACTTTCATGCTATAGAAAATTTTCTTCGGTTGTTAGTAAGAAATTGCTGGCTGATAGCCCAATTCTCTCTGAACAATCGTAGGCACCACTTTAGCAAGGGAAAAAAAGCGGAATAATTCTAAGCCCCCTTACAGACATGCTGTAGCATGTGATATGATGTTCTCCTCACACTGTAAATTTTCACTCAGTGGTCTGGGCTGATAGATTTACATTTCTTACCTGGTCCTTGCAGTACTTCTCAGACAGCTTAACCAAGGAGAAGCTTGTTCATTCTACCATTTCAGAGACAATACATTTACGTGAAATTTATTTATTCAACATATATATAGCATTTACTATATGCTAGTCACTAATCTAAGAGATTAACAAAAATTAATTTAACTCTTGTTGTACTATGACGTAGGCACTACTGTTTTTATAATCACCTCACCTTTAAAAACAAAGACACTGAGGCACAGAAAGTTTAAATAACTTTCCCAAGGTCACATGGCTAATAAATAGCAGAACCAGGATTGAGACATAGGCAGTGTGGTTCCAGGGTAGGCACTCTCAGCCATGCTGCCACTCCAGAACGTTCTGAATCATTTTATGATAGCCTATTTCTTTTCTACTTGAAAATACCTCTACATTTCTGCAAAGAAAGATTTGCTATTATTAGTATTTTTATTCATATAAAGATTCCCATTTAATAGATAGCTGAGGTTTTTGAGATGAAGCTCTAATCCTAAATTTGCAAAATGGAGCCCTTGAGCAGGATTTTGCCCACAGGAGTGTGTGTGTGTGAGTGTGTATGTGCATGTGTATTAGATCAAAGTTATTATTATTACATTATTTGCCAACATTTAAAGTTTTGGGAAATTTCTCAGAAAAATATGGATTTCTGGTTTTTCTTGAAATAATTGGAAGATAAGAAAATAACAGATTTAGTTTTCCTATATGGCAACAATCTGTCACAGCTAAGCAGCTGTCCTTTTTATATGGGATATACAAGCCCCAGCACTCTCTTGCATCTTGCCAGTCCTGCTCATTATATTTCTTGCTGGTGTCTGTGGGAATTTGAGTTTGAGAGCCCTTCTCCAGTGGAAGGACTGAAAGGGGCAAGGCAGAACTTAGTTCTCAGAGGACATAGGACTCCAGGGAGGTATCATTTTTAGAACTTGAGAATAAGGTGGAATCTTAGGCTTGAAAAATGTCCAGAGACCAATGATTAAATGTGGGTTACAAAATATAATATTGAGATATTGTGATCGTTAAAAAACAGAATTCAACTGAGTAAATTTTAAAGATCTTATTGGCTTTATTCAACAATCATGAACTGGGCAGCATCCAATCTAACAGCTAGAGAGGAGCTCTGACAAGCTGTGCAAAATGAAAGACATTTATAGGCAGAAAGGAATGGGAACAAGGAAGCTAAACTAAGTGCAGGGTGGTTGTGGCAAGGTCACTTTCTTTTAGGGCATGGCAGGGGTCTATCAGGCAGATTACCTCACTAGTGCTGACCAGGTAATTCTTGACTGACTGGTTTAAGATTCCATTTCTGGGAGAGCCGAGACGGTAATTAAGTCTCAGTTTGGTGATGTGGGGCTTAGCAGAAGCGACTCCATTTTGGGCCTATTGTCATATGTTTAACATGATTTATAAGAAACATATATTTGACCATTTAGATAACCAAATATATATTTCTTATATATATTGGGTCTTCGTCCACAGTTCCTGACTCACAGCTCCCCAAACCCTTGGAATTTCTTGAGTGATAAGAGCAATGGGAACATCTTTTGATATAATATTGGGTCTCTTGCTCTCAGTTCCTGAAAATGCTTCAGAGCCATAAAGGTGCAATGGGTAGCTTGCTATTTATAATAAGCACCTTTCCACCACCACTGGATTTATGTTAATGAGGCGACTTTTTTTTTCTTCTTTTTGGTGAGGAAGATTAACCCTGAGCTAACATCTGTTGCAAATCCTCCTCTTTTTGCTGAGGAAGATTGGACCTGGGCTAACATCCAGGTCCATCTTCTTCTACTTTATATGGGATGCTGCCACAGCATGGCTTGATGAGCCGTGCATAGGTCTGCGTCCAGGATCCAAACCTGCGAACCCTGGCCGCCGAAGCAGAGTGCACAAACTTAACCACTACACCACTGGGCTAGCCCCAATGAGGTGACTGTTTGAAAGCACCTGGGCTGGGTTCCAGTGGAACCGGCCACCAACAGGGGGGTGGAACTTTCAGTCTCGTCTCCTGATTTCCAGAAAGGAGAGAGGGTCTAGAGGTTGAATCAATCACCAATAGCCAATGATTTAGTCAATCATGCCTGTGTAATGAAGTCTCCATAGAAACCCAAAAGTAGAGTGTTCAGAGAGCTTCCAAGTTGGTAGAGGTGCTGGAAGAATGGTGTGCCTGAAGAGGGTACAGAAACTCCACACCCTTTCCCCATATCTTGCCCTATACATCTCTTCCATCTGGCTGTTCCTGAGTTCTCTCCTTTTATAATAAACCAGTAATCTAGGAAGTAAATAGTTTTCCTGAGATCTGTGAGCCTCTCTAGCAAATTAATCAAACCCGAGGAGTGGGTGGTGGGAACCAGTGATTTGTAGCCAGTAGGTCAGAAGTGCAGTAATAACCTGGGCTTAAGACTGGTATCTGAAATGTGTGTGTGTGTGGCGGGTTGTGGGGAGAGCAGTCTTGTAACACTGAGCCCTCATTCTGTGGAATTGGACTTTATCTCCATGTGGATAGTGTCCGAATTGAGTTAAATATTAGGGGACTCTCAGCTGGTGTCAGAGAATTGCTTGTTGGTATGGGAATCCTCCCCCCACCCCGCCCCAGTGGAAATTATGTTCCAGAACCCTATTAAATATGAAAATCAATAAATCTGACTTTATGTAGAATTACCATGCCATTACCCTAGAGTAGGCACCATATCCTCCCCTTGATGAGAAATAGGAATTAACTTAGCAAGTGGGGCAGCATTGATTGTTAAATTGGACCAGATGTGCAAAATGGAGGTGTGCAGGAGAAGGCTCTAATTTTGTATTTCCATTATTGAATAGGCAAAATGTGAACTATTTTGATGAAAATATCATTGTATTTCTAGACTTTGTATATTACCTGAGCTTCATTTTGGTCAAACAACTATATAAAAATATAAATTGTTCTACATGATTCTCTAGTAAACATATAGCAGAGCATATTCTCTGAATTCTATGAAAGGAGAAAATATTTCAGGATTTTCTAAATAGGAGAGGAGAAGGGTGTTAAAAATGTCTTTAACTTCACCTAGTTAGACACTGAAATTTCACAAAAACTCAACAGTGGTTAAATAGTTTAATTTGAAATGGTGGACAATTAAGGGAAGCAGCTGATAGCTGGGAGACCGTAAATAGTCTGCAAATGGGCATAAGTAGCTATGTCACAAAATCATAGTAGGGCAATTAGTGGAATGCTTTGAACCTAAATCTGAGGGCACATGATTATAAACGAAAAGTGACAATTAAGGAATAAAAGACCTATGAGTAAAGGAGAGAATCTCCAATGCCACAATCAACTTATTACATTTATCTCCATAGAAAAGCAGAAATTATGAAACCTCTAGTGTCACAATTGCATCAGTCGTGTCAGGAGCACCATTTTCAAGGAAACATTTTGCAGAAATCCTAGCACATTATAGAAACACTTACTGTAATTACACAGATGTACTCAATGGTATTCAGGATTGGCAATAGTTTATACCATGATGTCTTGGCTGATGATATGTATGAAGCTGAGACTAGGCATTGAGCAATTACAGGTAGGTCACGCCTGTTCTGCAATCAGCAAATCAGCTTGAGAACTAAAAGATTAAAATGTGTTTAGAGGATAAAACCAAACTTGTGCGATAAAAGAAGAGGATTCAAAGCAGAATGAGTGAGGAGAAACTATCTGAGGACTTCTGGTTAAAGACTTGACCAGTACCCAAATGAGAAATGCTTGGTAGTTAGCTCCCAAACCATAGAACATTGATACTTCAAGATTTTATACTTTGTGGTATGTCAACCAATATTTATTACATTATACATTTATTATTAAATTATCTATTTAATAAGTTCTCTATAGTTTAAGATGTGAATTTTGTTCATATTTGTTCATCCTTCTATGGTCATTTTCAAGTACAGAAATAACAGGTTTTTTTGAAGAATTAAAGAGTAAACTTACTGAGTCAATCTGGCTGATAGCTAAAGATTCCATTCTGGCGTCAGAGCAGACCAGGACAGTGGCATGCCAGATGAGGAGGTAGACAATAAATAGGACTGACGGAGCAGAGTTCCAGGGTGTGGGTGGGGCAGAGAGAGTAAGGTTCAGAGACTGGATAGCTTTACCATGGCTGTAGATCATGAAGATGGTGAAAAAATGCTCCTCAAGTTGTATTTTCATAGTGGATATTTGAAAAAAGTCAGAACTAAGTAGGAGGGTCCAAACACCAGTCACCCATCCAAGAGTCTACTGGGAGAGAGGGAGATTAGGCACTATATCAATTATCTATAGCTGCATAACAATCCTATCCCAAATTTTGTGGCTTGAAACAGTAATAATTTACTATCCATCATGAGTCTGAGCAATTCCTTTGCTCATTTTGCCTCTTGGTTTCTCATGTGATTAAATTTCACTGGAGAATCTGCTGGGTTAGAATATCCAAAATGGCAGATGGTGCAGACTGTTGGCTGGGGAACATCAGCTCTTCATGGACTGTTACCTTCCAGGAATCTAGATCGACTCCTTACAAGGCAGTCTCAGGGCAACATTGCCAGAGGGTGAAGGATCTTCAAGGGGTCCTGAGGCCCAAGGTCCAGTACTTATACAACTTCAATTCTGTCAAAATTTATTCACTTAGGCAAGTCATAAGACTAGCTCAAATTCAATGGGTGGAGAAATAGACTCCATCTCATTATGGGAGGAGTTGAAAAGAATCTGTGGACATATAAGAGACCAGAGGCATTGAATCAATAGTGGGCGTGAAAATCAGAAAGTCAAGAAAATTTTTATCAGAGTTAGAGAATGGAGAAGGCTAGAGTAATTTTCAAGGCCCATAGTAAATGTTTGAGTTGTTCTTCCTGTGCTTACTTACATATGGGTTTTGGGTATGTTTAAAGACGTCTAGAGGGAGTGAACAGCTACAGAATGTGTCCTAAGCAGGGATTTTTCTGTGGTAGCATGATAACTTATTTATGTATATATTTATTATTTAAATATTATTTGTTATATACTTGTTATATATTGCTTATTTATATAAATATACATATTTGGTTGGAGCAATTACTTCTTCATTTCTTTTACTATAACAAGCTTTTATGTGTTTGGTTACAAAATAACTTTCCACTGGTACTAGGTTTTATGTCCTAAACCTATATGAACAGGGAGAGTTTCCTACCATACACTGTTATATACTTTTCATTGGAAAACAAACTCAAAAGGATTGTTTTCTCAGGATCAGGAGCAGAAGACAAGTATGCATGGATCTCAGAACACCAGGGCATTTTTTCTTATGTCTTGGAGTCGTAGGTTAAGACATTTCTGTTTTCTAGTTGCTACTCAATGAGGCAGAAGGCAGAGGACCCAATACTGTTCTGGCGGTGATTTCAATCAAGGAATCATAGTTCTACGCCTTTCTTATTTTAAGTGAGTCTTAAATACAGATTTATATAACTACATGTATTGAGGAATGGCTGGTTTGGTATTTTGTGCTGTCCACAACTGATTAGGTTTATTCCTATGTGATCATTAGATTACGGTATCATGACCATGTACTCCACTTAACACAGGGCCCTGAATACATTCAATGAATGAAAGTGATGATCTGAGTTTGCTCTTCAAATGTCTAGTGAATTCATAGGGTGGTCTAGATATCTTACCCAATGAGATCTTGCCTTATTTTAGTTTTAATCTTCATTTGACTTCTTAATTATGGCAGATAATAGATCTAAATTACCTTCTTTAAATTAGATCACAAAGATATGATTAAATTGCACTTCTGACCAAAGTATCATTTTTCACTTACTGAGGAACAGCATGAACGATGCCTATGCTTCCAATCATGTTCTATTCCAATTTCCCTCCACTGTACACGGGTGAGTTTTATTTCTCTTTTTTATTTCTTGCAACAGCAAGCACACACCACTTCCTGTATTTAGCAAGTACTTGTATCAGATTTAGGTTTGGCTTCATATTACATCTCTCCTAAATAATAGTGGTCTTAAAAGTTAATTTTTCTCTAATGTTTAAAATGCCCTGAGGAAGGCAGAACAAGGCTGGTCTGGCAGTTCCAAAAGCTACTTCAGCTACCAAGTTCCATTTATTTATTTTATTTATTTATTTATTTATTTATTTATTTATTTATTTGGAAGATCAGCCTTGAGCTAACATCCATGCCAATACTCCTCTTTTTGCTGAAGAAGAATGGCCCTGAGCTAACATCTGTGCCCATCTTCCTCCACTTTATGTGGGACCCCGCCACAGCATGGCCTGACAAGCGGTGCCACGGTGCGCGCCTGGGATCCAAACCCCGGGCCGCTAGCAGTGGAGCGCGTGCACTTAACCACTACGCCACAGGGCCAGACCCCCAAGTTCCTCTTAGATCATTCCTTTATCACTCCTAGGGTGTGTCCATGGATTCCAAGAGGGCTAGTGGAACTCCAGTTGTCACATATGTGTTCCAGAAAGCAGGAGAAAGGAAGAAGAGAGAAAGGATAACACTCTCCTCTTCAAGTATATGATACTTCGTTTTAATCTTACTGATTCAATCTCAGTCACATATCTACACCTGCCAAGGAAGCTGGGAAATGTAGTTTTTTATCTGGGTGCATGGTAGCCCATCAAAAATTGGGATTCTATTGTTAAAAAATAAAGAGAAAATGGATATTGCGAGGCAGCTATCAATCTTTTCCACAGTACTTAGTAAGAATTAATTGAATTGAATAGAAAGCATCACGTAGAGATTTCTGATATGTGCTTTGAGAATTACTACTTGGCGAGGTGTTTGAAGTCACCTAAACTGCTCATTATTTAGTGCTTTGTGTCATTTAAAGTGTAACCTGAATTTAGATTATCAGAAGATGCTTTAACCTCTTGAAGTATGAACCTACTTATCTTCAATTTCTGTGCTGAAGGCAACAGCTGCATCTTACCAATGAACCCCCATCTGATAGAAACATGTGTCTGATTTCTATTTCAGTCTTGGCATAGTAGCTGTGAAAGACTTTGGTTGGCACTTAGTTTTATTGCTAATATGTCACCTACTATTATTGCTACTGAACCAGCTTTTCTGTCACATCCCTTATCATGTAGCATATCTATAATCCTTGTAAGCTATTATTATATACTTTTATAAAAATTTATATCTTAATTCTATCCCTAAACATATACACCCCCACTGACTTGTGCATTTCATATTTGTCTTCTGTTCTCACTTAAATTCTAATACCATTATTTAAAAATTGTCAATCAAGAAATACTGAAAGGAAGGAAATCAACTAGAAAATTATACAGTTGGCAGCATTGTGTAAAAAATGATAAAACTATATATGTTTATTACTTTAAAAACAAGAGATAATTATTTCATTTGCTTTCTTTTGGTTTCTCAGACAGAACGTTAAATCTCACAATTCTTAACTGACTCAAACATTTGTTCCTTACTATTTTCAGTTAAAGCATTGTCAATATCCTGAAATCAGAATTTCAAGAGGTTTAAAAAAATTTTTAACCAAACATCCTTCAAAGGTAATAGTATTTGTTTATTACAAAACTTCCTAAGACTATTTAATAATTGATTATTTCATTTTGTTATGTTTTTGAGTCTTATATTTCAGGTAGACAATTCCAACGGGCCACGTCATACTTTCTGACCTGATTCTCAGCTAACTTCCGTTTTCCATCCACCCCATTGACCTGCAACTTTATTCTCCTCCCACTGTGTCCATTTTTTTAATGTAAATTTTTAGTAAAGTATAAAATGCATAGAGAAAAGTCAAACACCCTAAATGTATATATTGATTGTGCAAAGCGAACACACCTATGTAACCAGCACCCAGATTAAGAAACAGGACATTACTAGACCCCAGATGCCACTTGTACCTCTTTCTAGTCATTGTCTACTCTGCCAACTTTTAGCACTAAACATTGGAGTTACCTATTTTTGAACTTTATGTAAATGCAATTGTGCAGTACATATAATTTTTTGCCTGCTTTCTCTCATTTAAAAACATGTTTTTAGGGGCCGGCCGGGTGGTGTAGCAGTTAAGTGTGTGCACTCCGCTGCGGCAGCCCGGAGTTTGGATCTCTGGTGCGCACAGACACACCACTTGTCAAGCCACGCCGTGGCGGCGTCCCATATAAAGTGGAGGAAGATGGGCACAGATGTTAGCCCAGGGCCAGTCTTCCTCAGCAAAAAGAGGAGGCTTGGCATCGGATGTTAGCTCAGGGCTAATCTTCCTCAGAAAAAAAAAAAAAGAAGAAAAATGTTTTTAGATTCACAGATTTTTTTTGTGGTGTAGTTCATTCTCATTGCTGATTAATTTTCATCTGTCTTGGGATTTCAGCACTATTCCTGTGGTGTGCCTTGGTATAGTTCTCTTTGTAATTATTTTGCTTGAGATTCACAGCACTTGTTGAATCTATGGGTTGATGTATTTTATAAGTTTTGGAAAATTTGCATCCAATAGATCCTCAAATATTCTTTATATCCTGTTTTCTCTCTCTTCTCTGTCTGGGAGTCCAGTTACATACGTGTTAGACTTTTTTCACTTGTCCCACATTTTTCATGCTTTTTAAAAGTCTTTAATGTGTCTTGTCTTTTCTTCCCCCTCTCCTTGTTCATCACTCTTGATATATTCTACTGACCTGAGCATATTCTATTCTATTGAACAGTCTTCTGCTGTGTCTAATATGCTATTGATACCATTTAATATGTCTCTAATTTCAGATATTTTATTTTTCAGTTCTAGAATTTCCATTTGATTCTGTTTAAAGGTTTTAGTTCAGTGTTAAAATTTTTCCTCTATTATCTTCATTTCTCTCATTCTCATGAAAATATTTTTCATAATTATTTTAGAACCTGTTTGTTAACTCTAGTAATTAGATGATCTGTAGACCTGGGTCTGTTTATTTGTTTGTTTTTTCCCTCTTGGTTTTTAGGCATGTGGTTCTATCTTTGGTGTGCCAGGTAATTTTTGATTGAAGGTCAGATGTTATATATAAAAATTGCGGGGGCTGCAGATGATGATATCTTTCTTCAGAGAGGGTTCACACTTTTCTTTGGTAAACAAAAGGATAGAAAGCTGATCACCCAAACAAATCAAGGACAGTGCAGCTTTGATGCTGCGTTGCAGCCCTCATATGGCTTGGCCTACCCCTGGTTTACCCTGGACCTCTAGAGTTTCCAGTTGAGTGGATGGAGAAGACTTTACGACCTTCTGTTGGCAGATCTCATACTCTAATTTTTATTTCCTGAGGCTGATGAAAGCCTCAATCCACTTTTCAGAGACTTTTTGCTTTAGCTTTTAACCTCCTACTCTGCATAGCCCCAAAATTTGGTCATTCCTTTGAGGCAAAACCCAGCCATATACTTGAGCTTTCCTTCCAAATTTTTATCAAAAGCTCTTTTGGTTTTTCTGCTTACCAAGAGTAACACTCTGTTAGACCAAAGCTCCAATTCTCAGGTTCTTGTTCAAGCCTAGAGTGGGCAAATGCTCCATGGTAAAAACAGCTGCAAAAGTCAGCTCACTCATTCAATATTCTCCCCTCGGAGTTTTAGACCCTCCAGTCCTTGGTGCCTCGTCAGCTCTCCAGTGTCTTCAAACAGATGGTTTGTGTGTTTTCTTGTTTTTTCCCAATCATTCTCTGTGAGAGTTGTGGACTACCAGAAGCTACTCAATTCCACCTGGGATGATGTATTTTTTTACTAACTGGTTTCTTCACTTTATTTTAAATAGTATAATATATGCATAACTTAGAAATTTACCTCTCTATTTTTGTAGTCTATTATTGATAAGCTTTAAATATCAAAGGTCTGAATGTACACTTATAGTCTATACAGAGAGGTATATCACTTCATGAGTGAAAACATATGAAAAAAAGACTATGTTCCAAAACATATAATCCTAATAAAAAGCATTTAAAATTCTTAAACTTTATTAAATCTATGTATTATATATAGTTTATAAAATTAGCACTTTAATCTAAAAAAATATGCACATATATTCAGAAAAATATTCCAAAATCTTAGAAATGTTTACCTGGCAGAATTGGGAGAAAGGAATAGGGTATATTTTGTGTGCTTTTTTCCACCCTAATCTCTAATGTTATTTTATTTTTTGCAATTTTATCTGATTGACATATAATATATTTATACTTGTATAATAATGTAGATTTTTAAGAATTATGATAGATCTTATATTTTCTAATTTTTATCTATAGTTTTTTCTCTTTGAGAAATCTCATCTATGCCTATTAATTCAATCACCAGTTATACAGCGATGATTCCCATCCCAGACAACTCTATTGGGCTCAAGACCTGTGCATAGAAAAGTCTCCAAGTTATTGTGACCTAAATGTCGCATAGGTACTTCAGACTCAACTTGCTGAAACTTTATTTCTACCCCATGACTCTCACTGTACCTGACATGTGGTAAGCACATACTATATATTGACTGATTGACTGATTAAATGACATCCCCTCCCTGCTCTAATCCAGAACCCTCTTCTTTATTCCTTATCTTGGTGAACACAAGGAAGCCACCACCTCATGAAGTCATCCCAGGCTCCACATATCACTATAACTCATTTTTAAAAAAAGTCTCTCCTTTTTCTGTTTCTTTGTTCTAATTTCTGTCTTTCCATAAGAGGAAAGAGGTGTTTCTCAAACATCTGGAACTAGTTTCCTTTCCATATCTATTTAAGAATAAAGCACACAAAAATCTACCTGGAAGCTCAGTGTCTATTGCCAGGGCTTATTGAGTGATTGCCTTCATACTGGCATTATTGGGAAGAGCCTTGTCAGTTATATTGGAGAAACCCTCATATGTCAGCCAGTGTTTCCTCAAGGGTCATTCAGTTTCTTCAGAAAAGAATCCTTAGGGCTCCTTTCTGGGAACTATAGACCTGTAGACTTGATTGAATGTGTTCTGGGAGTGATTCTTCTTTCCCTCTCTCCCTCTCTCTCTCTATCTTTGTATGTGTTGGGGATGAGGATGAGCTCAGCATTAAGTATATAAACTTTTATTTAATATTTCTTTTTAGTATAGTAAGTCGGCCTCACCCTTTGCTGTTCCTAATGTCCCTCATTGCCCTGAATCTATAGGCTCTCTTGTTGAATTTCTCTAAAGAATAAACCTCTGGGCTCTGTTGGGTGGAGGACAGGCACCTAACTGACCATGCCAGCTGGTGGATAAGTCCTCAGGTCAGGTTTTCTGTGCTCCCATAATATCCTGTGCATATCTCTATCACAGAACTTATTATAGTAGATTATACTATGGTAGACATTTGTCTACCTCTCTGCTCTCTGACTCTGAATTCTTTGAAACTAGACTACGGTCACAGAGACAATGTTTAGTAAATATTTGAAGAAATGAAATGATTGGATTATTTAACTGAAACATTTAAGTTTAAAATTAAGATTTGCAATCCAAAGTGTACAGTTTTTGAGACATTTAATGAAAACTCTTTCAAAAAGATATTAAGTATATATTTTAAATCCCTGCTAATTTTTTTAACCAAATTTTTTCAACTAATTTTCATGAGTACGTGTCAAGTACAGTTTTAAGTGGTGATGCATAATCAAGAAAACAGAAAATGACCAGTGCCTTCTGAAACTTATGGTCTAGTGATAAAAGAAAACAGAAGTTAAAAAGAAATGTAATAAATATGTACATTATATAGTGAATTAGAAGTTGATAAGTGCTATGGAAATAAAGAAAAATTAGAGCAGTTTGAGGAGGACTGGGAGTGTTGGAGGAAGAAGTTCAGTTTGCAGTATTAAATGTGTTTCTTAGGCCACATTGATGAGATTTGAGCAAAGACTTTGAAGAAAAGTATTAGCTAAATGAATATCTGCAGGAAGAATGGTCCAGATAAAGAAAATAACAAGAGTAGTGACCCCAATGGAGAAAAGCAAGTAGTTCAGTGCAGCTGCAGTGCAATGAGCAAGACAGGGAGAGTAATGGAAAATGTGCTAAGAGAGGAAGCAGGTCCCAGTCCATATTGGGATTTTCAGGCCGTTGTAAGGATCTTGGCTTTTACTCTAAGTGAAATGGGGAGTCATTGCTGAGTTTTGACAGTGATATGACATGACAACAACTACATTTTATAGAATCACTCCATTTGCTATAGTAAGAATGGACTAAAAGGGAGAGGGGTGGACACAGGGAGACCTGATAGAAGAGTATTGCAATGGTGATGAGAGAAGAGGGTGGTTCTGACCAGGATGGTAGCAGTGATGATTACAGTTGGTCATATCCTAGATATTTGAAAGGGGAGCTGATGAGATTTGCAGATGGATTAAACATAGCTTTTGGCCTGAATAACTGATGGATAAAACTGTCATCAATTGGGGTATAAAAGGCTGTAGGTAGAACAGATTTAGGGGGAGAAGATCAAATTTGGACAAACATTGGATTTGTCTATTAGACCTTTATGTGGCTATGCCAGGTCATCAATTCAGGACAGGTATTTAAACTGGAAATACACGTCTGAGAGTTTATGAATATAGATGCTATTTAAAGCCATGAGACTATATGAGGTCACCAAGGAATGGGGTATAGATGGAAAAGAGAAGATCAAAGAGCTCTGGGGAACATTCAAATTAAGAGGCCTGGGAGAAGAGGAAGAACCAGTAAAGGAGACAGAGAAGGAGGCACTAGTCAGGTAGGAGGAAAGTCAAGAGACTATGACCTGGAAACCATGTGAAGGAAGGGTCTCAAGGAAGCGGGAGCAATCAACTCCATCAATTGCTAAGTTAAGTAGGGCAGGGACTTGGAATTGATCATTCTATTTACTATCATGGAGTTGTGATCACAGAGAGGAATTTGGCGGTGGCGGCAGCGGTGGTGGTGGTGATCTAGCCTAGGCTAAGTTTAATAGAGCATGGGAAGACAGGAATCAGATGTAGAATAGAAGTCTGTTGAGGAATTTTGCTGAAAAGGGAACAAAAAGATGAAAAAACGTGTCTTAAGATGTGAGAAATATTATAATGAGCAGTATGTTATTTCCCATATGCTGATGGGAAAGGTCTAGCAAAGAGCGAATAACTGGTGTTATAGGAGAAAGTGAGGGCAGAATTCCTGGAGCTATATCCTTGAGTAGTGGGGAAAGACGGGAACTTGTGTGAATGTCAGACTGAGAAAACAGCTTGGAACTTGTGTGAATGACATCAGGCAGGAAGGCAGAGAATGTGAGTACATGGACTGGTAAATGTGGAGGCTGGATTCTTTGGAGGTTCTTTTCTGACTGCTTCAATTTTTCCAGTGAAGGAAAAAAAATGTCCTCAGCTGAGAGTGAGGACAGGGGAGAGGGTGTTGAGATTTGAGGAGTGACAAGACGTGAAATACTTGTCTAAGAGACTAGAAGTGTGAATGTACTGGAGATGTATTTCATGATTACATGACATCATTAAGGGCCCACAGCAGGCTATGAATATCAAGGAATATCAAGTGAGACCAGTCAGCATGATGGAGCTGGTATTCTCCAGCCAGATTCAGATGTATGGATGTGGGAGCAGAGGAGGAGGAGATTTGAATTTAACCAGAATCAAAAGAGGGGCAAAGGAATTAACGGTACATGCAGGGGAATTATAATGCTTGACCGTGAGTTGTTTTTTTAATTTCATGATAAATTTAAAGAAATCAAACAGAATTCTTATTTTTATGAAGCAAGATAATATTCCCTGGAAATGGAATGATAGTAATAAAGTGTTCATTCATAATAATATACAAAATAAAAATCCAATTTGAAAATTTAAAGTTCAAATGTATCAGTGAAATTTCATCTCTTTTTTAGAACTTCAATGAGATTCCACCATTGATATTTCAGCAATTGATTATTTTGTGTCTATTCTCTGAATGGAAGCATTATTAACTACCATGGCAAGTCAAGTAATAAAGTTTAAAAATAATGACTGTTACTGTCCAGTCATTGGAAGCATATCTTCTTGATCAGATAATTAAGCAAACCACTGGAATAGGAGAGAATAATGGATAACACACTGAGGAGCATTGAATTCATTTCTAAATCTCATTTTCAGAATTGGTATTAGAACTACATACCTATATATCTGTTATTTAGCTGACCATTGTAATTACGCTGAAAATCTAGAAAAAATGAAAACTGCATATTAGATGAAGTAATATGTCTTTCAAATAAGTACAAAATAGTCTTTTGATGAACCTGGTCCTAGAAGAGGCAATGCAAATGAATATGTACAATCTTTTTGCAAATATATGTTTTCATTGTCCATGTGGTATGGCCCATTATCTGAAGCAATATATTTAATTGATCTTTACTTTATAACATGGTACCTAATTGCTTATTTCTCATATGATAGGTTAGAAATTCTTTTCTCTCTAACTTAGCGTTCTTATTGGCACTAAAGGAAGTCTATTTCAAAATAATTCTATTGCAAGTGTTCTCAACCTGACATATAGAACATCCTCATATTGTTTGCAAAGATGTTGAATGTGTGTATACTTCTATACATACTTGTGGGTAGAGATCTCTACCTTTTATAAGCTTCTCAAAGAGATTTTTGACCCCCCAAAATAGTAATGATAACCAAGTCCATGATAATGGGGATATATTTGTTCCTATGTTCTAAAGAGGGGTAATTCTATCCACAGCCTTATATCTATTACACAGAGTAAAAATTTGTATGTAGTAGTTCTAATCTGCATGCAATGAAACTGGGTTACTAAAGGGACAAGTGGATGTACTCAAATCACCTAAAAGGCAACAATGTCAAACACAAAAGCCACATTTTAAAAATTCCCTCTCCAATGGTCTAACCAAGAGCATGCAGTTTTTCAGCTGTGAGCGATTGGCTACTGATAACCTTGTTCATTAACAAATCAAGCAGCTGTTCAGATCTGCCGAAAAGCCCCCATGTTGTCCCTAAATGTTCGGGTATAAAATCAGTGTAAACCAATTAAGTTACACGATGGGAAAAGCATCAGATGTGTAACTGATGTTTCGCTTAACCTCTCTCAGCCCACTATTCTCTTAGTGTTCAATAATCATCTACCTCCAGAAAATGATAAGCTGTTACAACAAACTTGAATAAATATTCCAGAGTGAATCTATTTAAAGAGGAATATACATTTTAGAAATATTTTAGGTTTTTTGTGTGGCTACCTGAACTTTAATCATTCTGTACACTGAAAAAATTAAATCAGTGACAGGAAGTAATCTATGCCCCAAAAGATTTTATTATGTATGTGAGGAAATATTGTTTGCACTTAAAAAGTTGTCAATTATCAATGGAAGAAATGGTGGAAATATCATTATTTTCAAATTATATTATTGTAATTGAATCAAACTATCAAGATGTACTTAGTTCACATAAGATATGTCAAAAAGAAATCTATGTTAGGATTTAGAGGTATGGCAAGTTTAACACACAAAATTATACATATTATTTATATTTTTTACACAAATGGAATAAAGCATAGGGTCTATCCCAGCCTTTTAGCTATTAGTATTTTAGAAATAATTCTGTTCAAAACTCATTATGCACGAGTTGAAATGATTTTACCCATAGCTTTTTAGTTCATCTTTATAATATATTACTTATTCTTTTTTGTTTAGATAGTATCAAAATTGTGGTAAATATTAATCTTAAAATCATAGAATTTTTAGAACTTCAAAGGACTGTCAAGGTCCTTGGGTCCAACTCCTTTATTTTACTTCCTCAATAAAAACTCATTAGGAAAATAACCCTATTTTTCACATTCATTTCTAAAAGGAACACAGATTTCTATGCTCTGTCACCCAGCCCAGCTCTCTAAATGAAAGGAATGACCTTGAATTGAACTGTCGAATGTAAATGGAAGAAAAGTTTACTGAAAAAGTTTAGTAAGGATACACGAGATTAATGCATATATTTGTGTTGGACACACTTCCCTGTGCTGCATATTCAAAGTGATGGGATCATGTTATTTATTATATTTTTCAGATCATTTGCAATGTTAATTTATATGAGTTTGATATCGCTTTTGTCTTTTAGTTGTGTGTTATTCCGAGAAATCCCTGGGGAAGCAAAGGATTTATATGCTTTGTGTACACGTTCTGCAGACTAAGCGCTCTGGCATAATTATTTTTGGCACTCGCTAACTGATTAAAACATCCAATTTAACTCATGATCAGTAAGATTAAACCTTTTTAATATACCTCAAAAGTAAATTATCATTTACTACTCAAACATCCCTTTCTGCACATGTCCCCAGTAAAGCTGTTCTTTTTTTGTTAATGTACATTTTAACGAGGATTCCCTTTTATTTCTTCCTTTGGGCAAAACTGCCTTATCCTTTATAGAGAGGTAGAAACAAAGATGAGACGGAGGCTGACTAGATAAATACATGGGTTTCTAATGTCACACCAATTACAAGTCTTTATTTTTGTTGAATTCTGTAAAGAATTTGCTGTTCAAGAAAACACATCCTTGCTTTGAGTTTATTTGCTGTACAGGCAAATGGGAACAGTGAGAAGGAAATAATATTTGAAAAATCATTTAAATGACTTGGGAAAAAAACCTGTCATCTTCTATTTAATTTTAAATGTTA